TAGCCCTAGCCTAGCTGTTTTCCCGGTTTCTGATCTTCGCCTGGTTTCCTGGATTTCTCCCTTAGTCTTGCCCCTTCTGACTCTGTCTGCCCATCGTCGACCCACGCTAGCCCTAGGACTGTTCTTGTGTCTTGCCCACCATATACCTGTCTGCCTCTGTTTGACCCTGCCTGCTTCATGACCACGTCTCTGTCTTCTCCACAATAAAGCCTTGCAGATGGATCTGCACGTCTCACGTCTCGTCAGCTCTGTAACAATAAGGTTACTACATGGGTTAGGGTGATTTCAATGACCAGGTGACCTTAATGACCTTCCTGAACTCTGTGATCCTTCAATACAAAGCGAAGCTGCTGGGATACGGATCATCTGTATTGTCTGAAATGAGTTTTTTTCCTCGGGATAAAGCAGTGGAAACTGCGATAGTGAAGGCAGGCGGGAGTGTCGTTAAAGACTCCCTCGTACACCATCGGCCTGTTTGTGTTGCTCGTGTCTCTCAGCAACGGCAGAAACCCAATAATTCTCATCCACGGACGCCATACTGCAGTCTGAATCAGCCAAATACTTCCCATCAGAGTCCAGCTTGAGTCTTTAAACGCATAAATAAACTCTAGACATGAAATGAACTGAAGCTGACCAGCTGAGCCGAGTGTTTGTCTGATACCGATATCTGTGTGTGTGTGTGTGTTTTACAGTAATAACACGCTCTGGAGTTCACTGGAAGAGCCTGATATCATAAACACACAAGAGTTTGAGGATCTGTTCTCCAAAGCCACCGTCCAGACCAAGAAGAAACCGCTGTCAGACACGTACGAGAAGAAGAACAAAGCCAGGAAGGTACGAGACTACAGTGACCAATCATATCTATCTATCTATCTATCTATCTATCTATCTATCTATCTATCTATCTATCTATCTATCTATCTATCTATCTATCTATCTATCTATCATCTGCCACTCTAAACAGCAAGCAGCCATCTAGCAACAGCCTAATATTTTTCTGCATGACTGCTCATAACGTTTTAAAGTCAATTTCACAAAACTTGGTCTAGTTTGAATCTGATCATGACTCAGTGAACTGCTAGTTAGTCAGACCAGTTGCTAGTGTCTGTGTTTGTGTCTGGCTCCTGTAAAGATGCTGTATGTGCTCACAGAGCGTTAGTCAGGAATACAGTAGATTTAGCTCTAATTAAAGGAAGTCACATGGTTTGTACCACTAGAGGGGGTTTCAGCCGCATTCTGTGTCTCACTGCCAAACGTTTGAGTTTGTTGAATCTTCCATTAACAGCAGTCATGGCATAAATATCATTGTACTTTAGCAGTGCACTTTCAGGAACTTATGCTTAGTGCTTGCATATAATGATCTCATTTTGAGCTGTTATTCCCATAATTCCCTCTGTGCACTCGTGTTTAGTGGTGTTTTGATGAGATGTACAGGTTTGACCCGCTGCTGTGGTTCCAGATCAGCACAGATCAGCTCGTCTGAGGTATTCAGTAATATAATTGATTTTACTGCACTGACTTGAACTGAATTGATCTGAATAATGGCTCCGATGTCTTCTGTAGAGCTGCTTTACCGCTGAAATTGGATTTGTTTCACGATTAATGAACTTTACGACAGCAACACTGTCACTGAACTGAACTGAGATCAAATTCTGCCGTGCTGGAGTTGAAATGTATGTGGTTTGAAATCCTAAGGTGTGTCTGCACGACCTGGCTTTATTCAGGTCAGTTTTCTGTGGTCTGTAAGGGTCAGATGAGGCAGAAATGGCTCGGTCAGCAGTGAGTGATTGTGCAGGTCAGCACTGGTCTGGCGTCCCAGAACTTAAAAATTCAGCCTGGACCCAAAGCGATCAGACACTTCTGATCAATCAGCTGGGGCTCCACGACGCCTGTGTGTGTGTGTGTGTGTGTGTGTGTGTGGTCACTCTGGGCTCCTGCTACATCAGCATGTAAATCAGACGTCGCTCCTGTCGGATCTTTATTGCTCTGTTTCAACAAACTGTGAGTAATAACACGCTCTGGAGTTCACTGGAAGAGCCTGATATCATAAACACACAAGAGTTTGAGGATCTGTTCTCCAAAGCCACCGTCCAGACCAAGAAGAAACCGCTGTCAGACACGTACGAGAAGAAGAACAAAGCCAGGAAGGTACGAGACTACAGTGACCAATCATATCTATCTATCTATCTATCTATCTATCTATCTATCTATCTATCTATCTTAAAAATTCAGCCTGGACCCAAAGCGATCAGACACTTCTGATCAATCAGCTGGGGCTCCACGACGCCTGTGTGTGTGTGTGTGTGTGTGTGTGTGTGGTCACTCTGGGCTCCTGCTACATCAGCATGTAAATCAGACGTCGCTCCTGTCGGATCTTTATTGCTCTGTTTCAACAAACTGTGAGAAATTTACTTGAGCTTGTCACTCTCTACATCTTCTAAGTTCCCACAAAATCAGATCTTACAAACTTTGATATTTATTTATTTATTTAAATGTACAATATTAAGGGGAGAAAGGTGTTTGAATATATCCAGTTATCAGAGGACAATTCTAAAATGTATTATCATTTATAGCTATGTTTCCGTCCAAAGTTTCAAATGAAACTTGTGTGAAAAAATTGGAGTATTGCATAAAACATTTGCCAATAAAGCACTATTTCCATCCCATGTGTTCAAAAGAACACATTAAAATTAATAAATAAAACAATTTTAAAGGGGTCCACTATGTCAGAGACACGCTAGCTTTCCCAAGGCAGACAAACTTAGAGTGGTTACAATCATCCGAGTTTAAATCACGCTCAAATTGATTTGATATTGATGCAATATTTACACTGAGCTAACCAATCACAGTACACTGGCCCAGCTAACCGATCACAGCACACTGGCCCAGCTAACCGATCACAACACGCACTGGCCCAGCTAAGCGATCACAACACGTACTGGCCCAGCTAAGCAATCACAGCACACTGGCCCAGCATACTGGCCCAGCTAACCAATCACAGCACACTGGCCCAGCTAACCAATCACAGCACACTGGCCCAGCTAACCAATCACAGCACACTGGCCCAGCTAACCAATCACAGCACACTGGCCCAGCTAACCAATCACAGCACACTGGCCCAGCTAACCAATCACAGCACACTGGCCCAGCTAACCAATCACAGCACACTGGCCCAGCTAACCAATCACAGCACACTGGCCCAGCTAACCAATCACAGCACACTGGCCCAGCTAACCAATCACAGCACACTGGCCCAGCTAACCAATCACAGCACACTGGCCCAGCTAACCAATCACAGCACACTGGCCCAGCTAACCAATCACAGCACACTGGCCCAGCTAACCAATCACAGCACACTGGCCCAGCTAACCAATCACAGCACACTGGCCCAGCTAACCAATCACAGCACACTGGCCCAGCTAACCAATCACAGCACACTGGCCCAGCTAACCAATCACAGCACACTGGCCCAGCTAACCAATCACAGCACACTGGCCCAGCTAACCAATCACAGCACACTGGCCCAGCTAACCAATCACAGCACACTGGCCCAGCTAACCAATCACAGCACACTGGCCCAGCTAACCAATCACAGCACACTGGCCCAGCTAACCAATCACAGCACACTGGCCCAGCATACTGGCCCAGCTAACCAATCACAGCACACACTGGCCCAGCTAACCGATCACAGCACACTGGCCCAGCTAACCGATCACAACACACACTGGCCCAGCTAACCGATCACAACACACACTTTTATTTTTAAATGATTATTTATTTATTATTTATATTGTTTATTTTTTGACATTATTTTATATTATTTTATTTCTAAAATAAAAACTATATAAACGAAATATTTAAAAACTATATAGACATATTTTAAAATTACTAAAACTGACAAAAATACAAAACAAAATTACTAAAACTTTAATTACAATGAAAATGAAAACAGAAAATAAAAATGAATTGAAACTATAATAGTTTCTCAGTGATACTAAAGTAACTGCTGTCAACACGAACATGATTTATTTTTATTTTTGAATTTATTTGGAATGAATTAGGATTAATATTTTTTCCTGAGCATGTAACATGCGTTTTGTGTGTGATTTAAGTTAAATCACAATAATGTTATTTATATTTTATTTATTTATTAATTGTTTTTTGTATATTTATTTATATTTAATATACATATAATTATTTTTTCCATTCCATTATTTATATTTATTTATTTTTGCCTTTAATAAGTTTTAATATCTCCTTTAGTGACTGTGAAGTGATGAATAGATGCTGGAGCTCTATGGTCTTGGCAGGACGATGTAACTTCTGAAAGAACAGCTAAACACAAGCGACACATTTGCAGATCCGTCATTTATGTGTGTGTTTACCTTCTGAGAAAACCAGAGCGACTGGAGTCGATGTCCTGACAGAGCAATAGAGACGAGATCGATCGAGCTGCTGTCTCACGCGAGGCGTCTCGTCTGATCGCTCAGAGCGATGCCAGCGCAGCCGTGTTTGAGTTCACGTGAGTAACGAGGCCTCTGTGAGCATTAATGATCAGAAATAGCTGATTAATACAAGTCTGGCATGGTTTTTCAGACATGAAAGTGAATTTGAATCTTAACTTATATGGAAATAACTTATATGCATATATACATAAAACATTTAAAATCAATTTAAATAAATTTCTTAAATATACACATGTATTTTTACATACAGATATTTATGTGTAAAATATGTGACCCTGGACCACAAAACCAGTCATAAGGGTCCATTTTTGGAAACTGACATGTATACATCATCTGAAAGATGAATAGATAGGACAATATTTGATACAAATATCCCCCAGCGACTTAATAATGATTTTGTGCTGCAGGGACACATATATATATATATATATATATATATATATATACACAATAATTTGTGGAATATCGTAAATATATAAAATAATCAAATAAATTAAGTAACATTTAAGAAATAGACATATTTTAAACTAATAAAAAAAATTAAATAAAGCAGAATGAAATTGAAAAGAGAAAATATAAAAATTTTATTACATTTTTAAATATCTATATTAAAATATTATTTTAAAACTAATAATAATAATATATGCAATTAATTAATAAATTTTTATTTTCAAATATATTTTGAATTCATTACGATTAATGAAGTTCTGTGTATAGTCTCTCTTGCTGCATTTCTGTGTGATTTAGCTGAAATCACTGATTATTTATTAAAATATGATTTATATTATTTATTTTAAAAGTATGTATTTATAAAATATTTATTTATATTTATTTTCTAGTTAAAAAAAATGTATATTTATCAATTATTTTTATACATATAAATTTTTTGTTCTTTATTTTACCCTCCGGGTCCGAGTCTGTTGGGAGAGGCGAGGAAATCTGTGAGTGTTTAAGGAAAGTGTGTGTTTTGATCTGTGCACGTATTATGGAAATGAAGTGCTTGTGTGTGTTTGTGTCGGACACATGTGGATAATACAGAAATGGTGTGTGGAAAGGCGTCTATCAGCAGCACAGCTCTCCTGAAAACACAATCAGTGGGAATCAGCGGAGGTCAAACACCGCAGCTAATTTGTGTCATGTGTTGGGAAGCATCCGCTGCATGGACCCCCGGTGCCTTTCCTCGCTCCTGATTATCATATCAAACATAAGGGGCGGAGCCTCTGTCACTGGACGAGCTCTAATGACTAACAGGTGGCTTCAGAAGAACATGTGTCCCAATATCTGAGCATATAAGACTTCAGAATAATATTAACCTTTTTTCTGTCCTGTCTCTTGCATGTTCTGGTGTGTCTCTCATCCTTTAACATATTTTATTTTATTTTAAATGTTTTTTGTTCTGTCTTGCCTGTTGCATGTTCTGGCATGTCTCTCATCCTTTAACATTTTATTTTATTATTTTTTATTTTTTTATTTTAAATGTTTTATTTTTCTTCTGTCCTACCTGTTGGATGTTCTGGCATGTATCTCATCCTTTAATGTTTTATTTTATTTTATTATTTATTTATTTATTTATTTATTTATTTATTTATTTATTTATTTATTTATTTATTTATTTATTTATTTATTTATTTATTTATTTATTTATTTATTTATTTATTTATTTATTTATTTATTTATTTATTTATTTATTTATTTATTTATTTATTTATTTATTTATTTATTTATTTATTTATTTATTTATTTATTTATTTATTTATTTATTTATTTATTTATTTATTTCTATTTTAAATGTTTTTTTTCTGTCCTGTCTGTTGCGTGTTCTGGTGTGTTTCTCATCCTTTAACATTTTATTTAATTTTATCCTATTTTGTTTTATTTTATTTTATTTATTTTTCTGTCAAGATTATTTTTCGGTCTGTTGCATGTTCTGGTGTGTCTCTCATCCTTTAACATTGAATTGAATTGAATTTTATTTTATTTTATTTTTTTTTATTTTATTTTATTTTATTTTATTTTATTTTATTTTATTTTATTTTTAAATAAAATAACGGCCTGTTACATGTTCTAGTGTGTCTCTCATCTTTTAACATTTCATATTATTTATTTATTTAATCTTTTTTTTCTGTCCTGTCAGCTGTGTCTTCTGGTGTGTCTCTCGTGTCTTGACGTCTCTCTAGCTCTGTGAAGTATGTAAACATCACACGGTCAGATGAATCATTATTAAGATGCAGCTTGAACAGTAATGATGATTCTTAAACGAACTGACATTTTAATTGTTTCTAGCTTTAAGTCTCTAACGCTGTGTGTTTATTGGCATCTATTCTGGGAAGCGTTTGACGGCCAACTGTAGATCAAGGTATTCTGTGTTTGAAATTCCAGAATTCATGATCTTCACCTCATGGAACAATGTAATAATGATGTTTACTGCAGCGGCTGCTCGCTGTGCTTTAAAAACCTGACGTGATTATTAATGTTGAGCTGTTAAATGCATTTAGTAGGCTTCGTACTGACTCCAGTTTCCTTTCCAAAACACTGGCTCTAAAACAGAAGCGTTAATAAATAACAAAATATTTCTTAAATATTTTAAATA